TACATCTCATTCTATCGTAGGCAATGAAGCGTCCGATTTAGATGCCGATGACAACAGTAATTAAGAAATAAAATTATATATATATATACATTTATTTATTTCTATTATATTTTAGAGTGTATTGTTGTATTTTGTTATCATAACACAAATATATTACCATTTTAAGATTCAATGAATAAAAATGTATTAAATGAAATAGTTGTGTGGTGCGCGCTGCTTATAAGTAGTATATGACGCGAATGTAAACGTAGTGTCTGGCAGCAGAAGATGAGGGAAGATCAAGAAAGGAAGAGTGGGAACACAATGGAATTTGTATGAAACGCATGAATATGGAAATGTCAGACAATGGATTGATGATGGATTGAAGATTTGCAAATTAACGGTTACGATATGGTTTTCCTATTTTACTGAGTAACTCTGTAATTTACGATAAATACAATTCGGTTGCCCTCACCTGTGTTCTCCTTCACTACAGTTGGAGATACTGAACTGTCAGTCAACACACTGTTTAAATATTTTGTGGTCAAACGAATGATTTTTTGTAAGGATAAGTCGATTGATCTGAGTTTTACCAAGGTCTCTGATATGTGTGTGAACTGCAATTGGAAAGCGGAGAAAAAAATCAAATTCATTAGAATAAAATACGGTTCCAATTTCAAAGGTTGCTAACAACACCCTTAAATTGATACTATTGAAAGGATATTTTGGGGCACAGTTTTGGAGGTTTGCGTTTTTACACATTTGAAATCATCAATCAATCATTGTTAGACCACCATTAGAAACCTGGAGGCACTGGACGACCGTTTCGTCCTAGTATGGGACTCATCAGCAGTGCGCATCCACGACCCCTGCTCCCCGCAGGATTCGAACCCGAGACCTTTGGCATTGTAGGCGAACGCCTTACCATCGGACCACTGGGCCGGCATCCAACGGTGTTAATGTCTAACTCTGATTGATCAAGGGATTTTGCGCGACCTCACCCATTTGTATTTGGTAGTTACTGCCTACACCCGACAGGGTTGAACTCCATTGGTCACGTCTTCTCAACTAGAACTCCGAGAATTTCCGGAATATTTTATCGCTTTAAACTTGTTAAGTAATGTTCCCTCCTTTCTATAAACGTTTTCTGCCTTATTATTTACCGATACCATTCTTCTCATAGACTTGTTCCACAGATAGTTAACTTAGGATAATTTGGTTGCTCAACTAAAGTGAATATTCATTAATCAATCATTTTAATTTCCTGAAATTGAATAATTTGTCATATAGGCTTTCTAATATTCGTTTCATGGTAGAGATATCAGGACTGGTGATCTGTTTTATTTACTTAATTAATAAAATAATTAATTCTTAGTGCTAAAAGTCATTTGAATATTTATACACCACACAAATCATTGAATTTATCTGCTCAAACCACAGTAGGTGGTTTCCTTTGGAGGCAACTCCTCCAACCTTTGACGCACAGGTCTAATCCACAAGGCAGTGGTGAAGCAACGTTGGGAGATGTGGTTCCATGGTGATCTGTGATTAACAAAGCGTGCATGCGCTATTCGTTCTTTCAGGATTTTGAAGCTCATGTGCATCATTAATTTGAGATCAGGGTTTTCAGACCTCATTGGGTTCATCCTGTGTACCCGTCAATCCATTTTAAGCTCTGCTTTTCGTCCTCTCGATTTTGTACAGGACATTCGCGTCATGAGGAGGTAGGTAAGGCTTCCCCTTCAATAACTTTATATGTGTGGTCATATGAGGTCATTTTTAAGAGAGGGGCGGACTCCCCGGACTCTCGATTATACGATGTCACTCATTTTTCAAATATCTTCTTAAAATTAATTAACACTTTTGTTCCTAAAACAGTTATTTGAGATTTTCGAATTAATTATTAAACTTAGGTAATTTTAAATCGTCATTTTTGTTTTATTTCTGGTCTTTTTAACTAACTAGTTTCAGTCTTTTAGCTTTTTATCTATCCTATGAAGAATTAATTCACGTTGTATCTATCTCAACTGAAGAGCTATTCACCCATATATAATAATTTAAAGTATTTACTTGTCTGTTAACTGTGTAAATAGTTTGTTTCTAGTGCTTATTGATAAAAAGAATATAACAACTGCCTAATACAAATATTACTTGTTTTTATTGTTTTCTAATTAAAACCACATCGAATAGATGATAATATAGAAAGAAAATTTACTGACGAAGATTTATCCATCAATCCATATTATTTACATATCTTAAAATCGATTGAAAAACTAGTTAGAAAAGAAACAAATCAAATAAATCAGTCAAGTGAAACTATTGGTTCAGTGAATATAATAACAGATGATAATGATGATGATGATTTAAATGTCAATGTATTAGACAGAATTCAATTATTAAAGGAACAATTACAACAACTACGAAAAGCTGATCATTTATCTGATGTCAATAGTTTACGATTTGCTATGAATGAAGATAGTCATTTTGCATTTTATTTTGATTTACATGGACATTGTACAAAACGTGGTTGTTTTATTTATGGAAATTGGTTAGAAACAGAAGATAAAATGGTAATGATAAATGGGTTTTAAGAAGTTTTTTTTAAAGTCATTCGTTTATTTAAAATCGTCCAATGCTGTTTTGAAAATTAGATTTCTGTGTATTTAACCAATAGGTTTTATTTTATTTAGTTTAGTTTGAAACTTGATATAGAAATATGGATCATTATTAAGGTGTGACTTAATGATCGCTTTGGGCCACCCCACTGTGCATTTTTCAGTTTCCTTGCTCTTGTGAGGCAAGAAATAGCTGTACAAAATGTGAACTTGGCAAACAAATACCCAGGCACTATTCTGCATAGCTATCTAAAAGCGAATGCAAATAGAGCAGCATCTCAACTCTTAAAAGTATGGTGAACTCAGATCACAACCCACTACGTGAATCTTCTCTCAAAATCCTCTACAAAATGAAAATAACCAGTTGAAAAAGTTTCGATGAGGAATTTTTACACAGCTGAAACTATGGCAGTTCATCGTTTCAAGTTTGATCTCTGTGTACACAACAGTCATGTTTAACCCCTTACTCTCCTATGGTCCTAGTGTGGTGCGAGCTACTTATAAGTAGTATATGACGTGAGTGTCAACGTAATGTCTGGCAGCAGAAGATAGGGGAAGATCAAGAAAGGAAGAGTGGGAAAACAATGGAATTTGTATGAAACGCACGAATAGTGACAATGGATTGATGTTATGCAACAGGAACAGTCCAGTTCGATAGGATGGACTGATATTTTGCAAATAAACGATTTACAATATGGTTTCCCAATTTTACTGAGTAACTCTGTAATTTTCGCTAAATACAATCCGGTTGCCCCACCTGTGTTCTCCTTCACTACACTAGTACCCCTTTAGATTTTCACAAATTATTCGTACTAGTTATTACCTTTGTCCTCTTTTCCTTTACAAAGTAGACATTTATCTTTACCTTATGTTCTATAGATCATTGCCTCTTATAACTTCTAAATCTAATACATAACCTAAGCCCTTAATGATCCTTGATTACTTTACTAAATGATGTAACCTTGAGGACTTCAATGACATTGTCATAACACACATTTATAAATTGTTATTATTATATTCATTAGTTGAAACCGATCTATAATCTTGACCGTATTACGCCACATTACTTCATTTTGAGTGTCTTTCATATGAATAAATTTGAATATTGCAGATAATTTTATATAGATTCAAAAAATGATATTGTCGAAACGAAAATTTTCACTGTTACGTCTTCACTCTTCTTAGTTTCAAATAAATTGAGGATTGAGTAGACTGTTAATCAGTCAGTTAGTCAGTCAGATGCGACGTAACCAGTAGGGTTAGTGCTTATAGCGAACCGTTATCAGAATTATTTACTTCAAGTTTTACTCGACAGCAGTGTCCGCTTTCTCCATTCTTGTTTCATTTGGTCACAAACTTGCTTTGAAAGATAACATTATCTTCGTATGACTTTTCAGAAGTGGACCTTCTACTACCACACTCGCTTGTTGACCTAGAATGTGCCAATGACACAGTTCTACTTGGTGAAGACGCTGACAACAAAATGCAGAGTTGTCTGACCACCTAAAACAACAACACAAGCATATTCGGAATGCGATTCACCCTGTCGTAATGCAAAATCTTGCTTCACGATTGGATTGCATCGGCACCTGGACTAGTGATAGAGAGTGAAGCAGTTGAAAGTGTCGACCACTTTAGTCATCTAGGGAGTCTTATCAGTGCCGAAGAAATGGTGACTGACGAAATCTCAGCACGGATACAGAAGGCTCGATTTGTTTTTTCCAACGTACGTCAGTTATGGCGTAGGCAAGATATCCATCTGTTAACCAAAGGACAAATCTCATACATATCAATTTCATGCAAATTTAATACTATCCAATATCCTACTTGATTTTATTTTCCTAAATTATAATAGTACCCAACTTTATTAGTATTCAATGCTGATTAATGGTCAGTCCAATTTCATCAATGGTAATTTTGAAAATTTTAAATCGATGATTAATTTAGTGAATGAACAACAAACGATAAATGAAATTTTCTACTGACATTTAATACTACTTGTAAAATCAATGACTCTGTCTGCTTTACAATAGCTTTTTTCAAAAGTAAATTCTGGTGTTAGTTTGTTGAAGGTACACCGAAATATCAGAATAATATTAAAATTGAAATAATCAATGCTGTTTATTTTCATAGGAAAAAAAAATGTTATATGCATATATATATGGGTGGTTTCGATAGTTTAAAGGTTTTTCAACTAACATTACACTATGATAATCATTATTCTGTTTATGAACATGTAGCATAAATGGTAATATTTATAATTTCTTATCTTTTTATTGAAATATTCACCTAGGTAGATAATGTCTTATATGCTTTGTTGGTTGGCGTGAATTCAATCTACTTTGATTTTGATTCATGTAACTTTAGTTTACGTAATATGTATCAAAAAGATCGTAAAGGAAATTCCACTAAAGAAGGTGCCGGTCGTGTTGCATTATGGAAACATTTAGGATTAACGCATTGTTATACAGTTGAATGTAATTACAATTCAGGTAGGTTTTATTAGCTTACTAATCCTTTTTAACAGTACTAATGTTAATCTAAGTTATATCATTTAAACACAGAATGAACACAAAATTAATCTACAACTAGTTAAGTAAAAAGTGCTGTTTCCTTGCAGTTTCGCCTGAACCATAGAAAAAAAAAACAATTATTTTAAAGTGCCATTCAATAGGGTTAATCTAGATGTTTCTTTAAAATAATCCATGTCGTTCTCTGAATTTATTTCACTGCGATATGTGAGAACAGTTACGGTTAAAAGTGCTTGTCTTCTTGTGATGCTTAGAAGTATATGTATCAAGAATTAAAGATAGGCACAAACGAATGTATTGTATTTAGAATTCGAAATCAAGCATTTCACAACAAAAAGAAGTTACTAGTTCATTCAAACACCACATCCGCCGCAGCTTAAATTGGAATGTATATGTCTGTAATCAATTGTACGTCTTCTTTTCAAATTCATCCTGTGTCTGTCCGACAGTGTATTGGATAAAGGCTCTGTATTATCTAGAATGCTCTCATTAGTATTAGAATTAACAACCGAAATTGGAACAGACTCACCTGGTTCTTGGAATTGTATTTGATCAACATGTCGATTGTGTGTACTCAAGTCATTGATATCTAGAAGTCGCACCATAGATTTCCCGATATTCTTCAGAACAATCCCCGTGGATGGTCGAAGATCATTGCCACGATAATATGTAACTTCTGCAGACTCCAAACATCTCATATTCGACCGAAGAATTCTTCCTTTTAATAGTTTTGATGGAGTCTCTTTCGTCACTGAATGTCTGGCATTTCTATATTGCAGTAGAAAGGTATCTACTCCCCTCTCCAGCTCATTAAATGTTGAGGCGGCAATAGAATCAATAGCAGTTTTCATACCTCCACTGCACTTAGCACACGTGGCTATCGAATCTTTAAGTAAAGCATCAGAATTTTCTTTAGAAACTAGGAAAGACAACTCCACTTTAAGTCTTCTCAAATTCTTTAAACCCAGTATTGACAGTCCCGTTTCGCTAACTAAGAATTCACATGGTATGTATGAGGAATTATCATCTCTTATTAGCAATTCACAACATCCTCGTATAGGCAGTTTGTGTCCAGTAATCCCCAATATTGATACATCAGTGGGTCGTATCACAACGTTCGGATCTAACGATTTCAAATTCTTGAATGAAATAATGGACTCTATACTGCCTGTGTCCACAATAAAGTCATGAAATGAACCAAGTGATGTATATAGTCGCTTTTGAATATGAGCATTACCTTTCGAAATGGTAGTTAAAGATAAATGATCATTAGGATCAACTGAATTATTGGAATCTAAATTACAAGCTTTAGCACTACTTGAGGCAAAATGAACAGTAGCTTTGCATACTGCTTGAATGTGTCCTATCTTACCCCATCTAAAACCCTTAGCATTACGAAATGTACAATAATAACGAGAATGAAGTTTTCCACATGATAAACATTTGCCAAACTTGGTCTCACCTTTTTGATTTCCTTTGTAATTCTTTTTTGAGACACCGTTCATATTTACACGAGAATAGGAACCTCTGTTAAACGAACACAATTTTGATTGACCCTGAGATTGCTTTTCATCATGACAACTAATCAAAGTATTGGAAATCTTCATCGACTGAATATCAAGTTCACTCAACGCCTCGTAGTTAATGCACGCAGTTCTAACATCTTGAAAGGAACAGTTTGGCATTCTTAACAGCTCTCTTTCCAAACTAGGTATGTTAATTCCTGCAATTAATCGGTCTCTCAGCTGCACATGAAGTTGATCACCAAAATTACATTTGACAGCCTGTTTCTGCAATTCAAGAATGAATTCCTTAACATTTTGGTCATTTTGACGAATCATCTTATGAAATTTCGCTCTTTCACGGCATTCAAAACCAGGGCACTTTACATGATTCAATAATAACTCCTTAAGCATTGCATAGGGAAGTGAAATAGGTTTCTCTGGATATGCCAAGGTTTTCAATAAGCTGTACGCTTCTTTTCCGATGAATGTTAGGAAATGAGCCACAATTTTATCATCTTTGACATCTTTCCTGGTCATACTCCAGATTTCAAACCTTTCCAAATAATCTTCAAAAGCTTCAGAAGTAGAATGAATATCTAGCTGTTCCATTACAAGTTCCATCGCGACGCCACTGTGATGCTTAGAAGTATATGTATCAAGAATTAAAGATAGGCACAAACGAATGTATTGTATTTAGAATTCGAAATCAAGCATTTCACAACAAAAAGAAGTTACTAGTTCATTCAAACACCACACTTCTTCATAATAAACTTTTTTCAGTCATTTGAATTAATGGTGAAAGTTTTTAGAAATCCTTACATATTTCTACAAGGCACTATCCATCATATTTGTGGTACGACTTTAGCACTAGACGAAATTATAGTGTGGAGTTCAAAGAAAAAACACCATTCATTAAAACGTCTCTAACAATAACTATAAGAAACTGATAGGAGTAATTTTTTACTTCATCTTTTTTCAATATCTGGTTTATATCAAACGTAACAGAATAAACTAATTAATATTCTTCATTCAAAGGGTAATTAATTGTCCCTATAAGTTCACACACATTGTATCAAATTGTTTGAATGTTTTTTTTATGATAATTAGTTACTTCGAAAAAAAAATAATAATAAATTATTGATAATGAATAATTAAGGACAATGTACTGAGAAAAATAAGAGAATAATTACTTATTCTTTCATCTTTTTTTTCTGGGGTTTTATGGAAATTAGTTTTATTCTTTGTAGACCCAAAGTAGAGATGTCATTAAATGCAAGAAGAATGAAATATCTGTTCTATCATAATGTGATACTCGCTAAAAAGGAACCTACGAACCACTTCAGAGTTCGAATCCAAGTTAGTTCGTTTCTCGGAACGACGACCATCAAAGAGTAACTAAAACAAATTTACATTGAACAGCATTTTTTTGATTTCTTTGGGACTACCCGACAGTTTTCATTTACAATATCACATGAAGTTGGGCGTGCAATATTCAGGTCCTATCAGTCAGTCAGTCAGTAACAACGTAGAACTTCGTATGTGTGTAGATTAGTTCAAGTTGACACACCAAATCGACACAGGAAGGCAATCGTCAGTTCAAATCCCATAGTGGCAGATGTAGTTGAAGTATTAGCAGCAGTGAAGAAGACTAGGGTTCGAAGATATCATTCAAAAAGTATAATTTAAGACAGAAAGATAAAGATGATAAAGAATCCAGAGGATCAGGATTTCAGAGAGGATGGAGAATGGATGCAACTGTGCCATAGCAAACGGTTTTGAGCCATGCCGTGCAAGATCTCTAACCATCGGTTACTTTCATCTCACGGACTCCAACCAGGTAGTCACCGCTTACCAACATGACTTAATCCAGTTGTCATTGACTTCATGGATTTGTGCCATGTTTTGTTTTGGCGGCCTCTAGCCTTGTTTCAGTCTATCCCTATACCACAAAACATAGCTCATTGTGGCAGTCGGTGGTTGGGTATTTGTAACACATGTCCCACACACCTCAGCTGATGGAGTTTCATTGCCTCATCTATTGATCTGCCATCCTTACCTAGTATCCGTTTCCTAACAATTGCATTGCTTACTCGATAGTTCCAAGATGAACGAGCAATGGTTCGGAGACACCTTTGATCGAAATCCAGTAACCTTCGAATATCTATTGCTCTGACTAGCCATCTTTCATACTCATAAAGCAGGACGGAGGAAAATGATATTCAGGAGATTTGTCCTTTCGTTAGCGGACGGATATCTTGCCTACGCCATAAGTGACGAAGGTTGGCGAAAACCAATCGAGCTCTCTGTATCCGTGCTGGGATTTCGTCAGTCACCAATTCATTGGCAATGATGAGACTCCCCAGACAAGTGAAGCGGTCAACACGCTCAACTGCTGCACTCCTTATCACTAGTCCATGTGCCGATGCAAGCCATTCCTGAAGAATCATCTTACATGTCGATCGGGTGAATCGCATTCCGAATATGCTTGCATTGTTGCTTCAGGTGATCAGACGATTCTGCATTTTGTTGTCAGCGTCTTCACCAAGTAGAACTATGTCATTGGAATATTCTAAGTCAAGAAGCGAGAGTGGTGGTAGAAGGTCCACCCCTGAAAAGTCAGACGGAGAGAATGTTATCTTTAGAAGAGAGTCTTTGACCAAATTAAACAAGAATGGAGAGAGTGGACATCGCTGTCGAACAACACTTGAAGTAATCAAGCCTTTCTAGGGTAATATACTTGTTTGGTGCACCTTTTAATGACACTGCCACAAAACTTCACGATCGACAAAGTCAGATGCTGCAATAAGGTCTTGAATGATAACTGTTGTCGGAAGCGTGAAACCGAAAACGAAATCATTACATTGAAAGTTGCTTGAATGTTCTAGATTTTCATCTGGCTACCAATCTAAGCGTTTCTACCACGTTACTCATTCTGTTAAGCGTTGAAAATTTTAACGCTTTTAGTGAAAATCCTATCTCAAGATTTTATGCTAGTTTTTATTTATTCCTCTTGAAATTACTTGAGATCTCGATTGAATTCGTTCGTCGTCTAATTTCTAATTCTTAATTCATTAATATACTTGTGTGAAATCTATGTTTGTTCATGATATATTTAAAAATTTTCATTAGATATTCATTTTTTATAAATAATACAATACTAATATATTAAATATATGATAAACCTATTCAAACAAGAACTGACTGCATTAAACGAACTAAAATATGCTATAAAAAACAAGTATAAGTCATATAAAATGCTAATCTTCACAATCACTAATAAAAATGATAAACTAGTTAAGTATTTATTTCATTTTTGTTTTCAGGTCCATTACCAAGTCGTCTTTCAAGATTTATTGCTTCAGAGCATCCTAATGACAGTAAATGTTTCACACCAATTGGTGCATTTTATGGTCCACATTGGTCTGATATGGTGAACACAGCTAGTAGTCAATCATTAAATTTTAATTTTGACAAATGTTCAAGCACAAATCATACTAATCGGAATGGAGGATATAAAACACTCACTGGAGTACCACATTATACTCCAGCCCATTATGAAGATGTTGGTCGAGCATTAATGATAGCTATATTAGATTTTAATCAAATCAATCCATGGCCAAAACTTGCAAGTCTTAGCGGTTCAAAAGCTGAGTCTAATGTTGGCATTCCCACTGTGTGGCCATCGTTATCAGAGTTTCTCAATATTAACGTAATACATTTTTATCAAAGATTTAAAAGTGTATTTGTTTATTTACTTACATGTTCGAAGGTTATATAATCCGGCATAAGATTTGAAAATGATAAGTTTTTCATGCCATGAAAATATGAAGTAAGATAGGAGTTATTTGACTGTATATATCTTATTATTTATTAACAACGATATGAACAGTTAATTTTAATGTGATCTCGTTATAAAGTAGATTAAGTAAATAAGTTACCAAATAAGATTAATTAAACTTATTGTGAATAAATACTTGTCGTATTGAAAATTATTCTGTACATGATTTGTAAATTGTTATTCGTTTTGATAATAACCCTTCCATTCTATATACTAGACTTCTAAGTCGTAATCTGCTCATGTGTATGAATCTATGACATTTAAATAGTATAATGATGGTCACCTTAACTTTAAAGTACAGACTTAAAATCTAATAGTTTATATTTCCAACTTCAAGTGCTGTTTTATATATTACTATAATCTAATATTATTGACAACTAATGCGTTTACCAAAAGTTCATCTTTTACATTATACAGTTATGGAGATTGTTTTTTTTCCGTAACTCTATGATGAATTTCATACAGTTTGCTCACTAGTGACTAGCTTCGTGAGAAAATTCTCTTCATTCTAGTGAAAAGCCGTGACCAGTGGAGTTAAACCCTGTCGAGTTTAGGCGGTAACTACAGAAAACAGTGGGTGAGGTTGCGCAAAACCTTAGATTGATCAAATTTGCACATTAACACCGTTTGATACCGGCTCAGTGGTCTAAACGTGAAGCTTTCACATGCAAGACCGAAGGTCTTGGGTTATATTCCCGCAAACGGGGTTGTGGATGAGCACTACTGAAGAGTCCCATACTAGGACGAAACGGTCATCCAGTGCTTACAGGTTTTTATCGGCGGTTTAACGATGATTGATTTCAAAGAAAAAAAGTTCGTCTGTTAAATCCAACTTTGGTTTGATGGAACATATTTAAGTCTAATATCAATGACCCTTTTAATAACATTTCCATCTAGTGGTGTAGAGTCTACTTCTAATGTTTACCAACTCATTAACTGCAGAATATGAATGTATCTTAATTTATTAGTCAAAAAGTAGAAGTAGGCCTCTTTTATTTAACATCAAATCAAACCACCCGCTTTCTGCTGGTGATGTAACAAGCTGTATTTTTAAAAAAGCAACTGATCATTTTGAAATAATAAAATAATAATAATTTTCTTCGTTGATATCCCATTCAGTAGAAATCTGTATTTCTTACATTTTTTGACCTAATGCAAAGCAATTCTTCACAGTAAATAAGTAAATAACCGAAACAAATCAGCACAAGTTTAAACAGTAAAAAAGGAAACAATGTGAAATACTTTTATTGTGAGACGTTCAAGTGTTATTTATGTATGTGAAGGAGGGTAAGTAAGAATATGTAATTTATGATATGAAGTAGTGGAGTTAAAAATAATACAAAATTGTGTCAGCGTCTATATAGAATTGTGTAAATAATGAATTGAGTCAAATGTGGTTATTGAGATAAACTGTCTAGGTTGGATGAATAGTCAGACCTTACTTCCTATTAAAGACAGAGGGATTAAGCATCATACGAAATGCTTCAGCTACTCGTCTCTCCTATTAGGTGAATTATTTTGATGTTTCTAATATCGATTTGGTAGTTATTGAAAATAGATCAAAAATTACTTTAATCAATATTCACAAGTGCAGAGTTGCTGATATACAATATGATTATTTCATATAATTTAGAATGAACATCATTTCATATACTAATATAAGATATCCATTAAACATGATTACCGAGAAATATTATCCAGAATTGGAATTCATGTCCAATTGATAATCAGTTGTTACTACAGTCGCGGACTGTGATAACTTATTTATGTATTTGACTAACATTTCATTAGATTCAATAAGTTTCTATCTGGCTTCAAATGCATTTTAATAGTAGTACTATTATACAGATCTATAGATCACTTACTTTTTATAATTGTTATTATTATTCTTGCATCAACCATTTCTTATTACAACTTATTACTTCTAAATCATGATAAAATTAAAAAAATTATCTCAATAACTTACACACATCGACATCAACAATACAGAAAATTGAAATGATAGCAACTTATTGACTGAACAGATTACGAACTAAACATTACAATCGAATTTTGTGTGGCCGTAAAAGGAGTTTTGGCTATTATTTTGGTTATTACTTTCCATAGCCATACTTGTTCCATGGTTTCCTGTCATTATTTTGCCGTTTCTCTTTTATAACCGTTATAACGTTAAAAAATAGATTATCAGTTAGTAAATGAAATGTGTATGTGTCACAGAACTATACGACATGTTTCTGTATTTCATTACATTTCCGTAATGACGCCACACATTAAACTATAGGAGCCAGGGAAACCTTATTGAGGGTTCCCACCACAGAACGAATGGAATGCAATTCGTAAATGATCGGTTCAACGGTTCAGTGGACTGATTGCGTCAAAAACTCAGTTATCGCTAAATTACACTTTTTTTAAACTCTGCTATTTAAGTTATTTCATATCTTATATTCTTTTCTTTTTTCCATTTCTTCATGATGAAAATAAATTGATAGATCTCTAGCCTTTCATTACATTTTTCGTAAATTATTTAGTATAACCAAAATACTTGATTAATATAGAAATGATATCACACTAATACAGTGGTTATTTTATCAACATCTAAACCTATCAGCATTTCACATCCTCATAATTCACCCTTAGGGGCACTACAAATCTACGGTCAGTTTAATGTGTCAGCCTTAATACTTCATATCATAAATTATATGTTCTTTCTTGCCTTCCCTCATATATATAAATAACATTTGAACGTCTCCCACAGAATCATCTCTACAGAAAAATCACATAACATTGGCATGTTCAGATCTATGATGATTTTGCTTGCACTAATAATATTGTTCTTTGTTTCCTTTTTAATATTTAAACATGTGTTAATCTATTTCGGTCATTTTATTTATTTGCTCTGAAAAAGTGCCATGCATTTAGTCACGAAATGTCAGAAATGCAAATTTCTACTCATTGGGATATAAACCAAAAAAATTATAATTATTTTATTAGTATTAACAACTTTTTATCCGATGCTCAATTTATTTGAAACAATCAAGTATAACCTTGGTATTGATACCTGATCAGTTTAAAGTTTTAGTGTATGATAAAGATTTACAATCTTATTGCCAGGTTCGAACTTCGCCCCCTCTACGTTGCTTTTGACAGCTGTGTGATATCTATCATTCGCTTTTTTACTTAGAATATGCGTACTTAGTGATTGGGTTCATCTAAAAAAATTTATCGAACATATTCTGGAGATGCGTTTAAATATATAAGAACCGTGAATCTTAGTAATTTCGATACTAGGTTAGTCGAAATTATCTATTTGTAGAAATTCCAGTCCAATTTCAAACTGTAATAACTGTAAATAATGTAGACTAAATTAAAATAAATCATCATTTATAAATGGTAAATATTTAACCCTAATTATTTTAAATAATTAAATGTTAAGTTTTAAGTGTTCAATTTCCATGTTCGATTTCCATAACTTAGTACACATTTTCTTATTTAATAAATAGACTTTAAAAGAATGGGTACGTAAGTATATACGAGGGATTACACCGACCAATATAATGACTAAATCACTGATCACTCAAAATACAGAAAGTTTTATATCCAATTGTCATGATACAGACAAATCACAAACAATTCATAAAGCATTAACAACTACTAATGAAAATTTAAACGAATCAAGACATACTTCTACTGAAAGTTCTGAATTTTCTCAAAATTCACTTGTTCAAATCCAAACAAATCCAATGACAATACAATCAAACTGTAACCATTGTTCCTATCAACTCAATCCAATTAGTCATAATTTTAAATGGAATAATAACCATCAAAATGATCATCAACTTCATGATGAATCTGACCAAGATTCATGTAAATCATCAATATCAAACGATAATAATAATAAAATGATCATCAATGTAATAAGTCATAAAGAAAATCGAATCTCATCGAATTTGCTTAATCACTATATAAAGCCTAATTCTGACATAATTAACAAACCATTATTAGATTTAAACATTGAAAATAATAATCGAAATCTATTAACAATTAATAAAAGTGATGCCGTAAATGATGATTTAATTGATCACAAGCTTGAAAATAATGATAAATTAGTCAAAATGTAAGTTTATTACATTCATAGAAGAAGTATTATAGGTATACAGATTTTATTTTCATTCATTTGGTTTATATTATTCCATATAGCCATCCATATATTGTAATCTATCAATTATAGTAATCATCATTATATTAATTAATAGCTAACATGAAACAATTGTTAGTCTTGATAGTGTAAAGCTAAGGCTTAGTATTTTTCAATGGAAAGTTAGAATCTTTTTTCAATGATATTTTAAATTTTTGCATGAATTAGTTTTAGATTTCACTTATTATGTTCATACAGAATTAATTCTCTGATGGAATCAAGTTCTTGTGTTGAAATGTTGTTATTAGAGGTATAATTTGTCATAATTTTATAAATGACTCAATGCAAGGCGAAGTATATGAATCACTAGACAAACAATGTAGAGCATAAGGACAAATAAAAAGTGATGATTAATTTCTGTATCGACAAATGTTCTTTACTCTCATGTTTCTTTTTCCTTATTTCTTCACATTATTGTCTCAATAACATTCTGTACTAAAGCTATTGAAACTAACAGATATATGGATCTATATTGTTACTGTAATTTACATTTCTACTCATATTTTGCTGACTGACTATAGTAAACAGAAACAACCAAAAGTCTCAGCCAGTTTATGTTCTCGGTTTGAAATGATTTGCGTTCTTAATCACACACAACAAGTAGTACACTCATCACTTATCTCTGGCTAAATTTCAAAATTTTTCAGCGCTCACGTCTCTTTTGTCCACACTTTGTTGTAGGATTGATGAAGTCAGTATGAACAACGAAGGTAGGCACTTTCATAAAAATATTTTTTAATAATATGTACACATTTTCGCACCGTAAGTCCTGGAAACTTTAAGAATATTTTTGCTGTGAATTTAAATCATTTCCTTCCATATCTTGTCATTAACACGTGGAGCAAAATTTGTTTCAACTTATTATTGAACAAGCTGGTTCTTAAAAGATTTGTTTGATGTAAGAACATTTCTCATCATAAACTGCTACGAACTGAAAAGTCATCAAAAAACCGAGGGAAGGGCGTAACCGATAAACGTTGAATAATTAATCTTGAAACTCCTCTTAGATAGAAATCGGGAATATTAATTTCCGTAAAACAATAGTTTGGATATTTTGTTGAGCTATTTGACTTAACTATATATCTTCAAAACATATATACGATATCATATTCAATAAGTACTTGCTACATTTTTCTAGTCATTAGCGGTGCGTCGAGTCGAGATTGACTAAAATCACCGTTACAGAACAATTACATGCCTGTCACAGAGAACAAACGTTGATCCATACAAAAGAATATATTTGCTGGCGATTTCGTGGTATCGAAAGTATACCGAAATCATGCCAGAAAAGAAGCGCGAAATTACAGAGACAGTGGAGCCAAAATGGCAGCAATACAAACGGAAAGCTTGCGCCTACAGATAGTAATAAACAAAGAGGTTCATTGAAACAATCACTGGTACAATTGGTTATAATAATCAATGTTTCTATTAAAACAATCGCATTCTCTTCATAAAAGTGGATTCACTACAAGTCTGTGAAACAAAAGCCATGAATTATTACATTTTCCTCATCATACGTAGGAAAATTCTCACCAAGTGAACTTCTATTTACCAAATAAGAATTTATTTTTGTAGTGTATGTTTTATCCTTTGCACGAGCCAATTGACAGATGACCTTCGAGTATCGGATATGCATTAAGCACCAAAGATTTGTTACTCTATACTTGGATGGCTCATAACTAACTTGCCTCAACTGAAGAGGAAGAACAAAATCCAATGACCACTATTCGAAGATTCATTACCATATTTTAAACATTCCTTTATGTTCATTGAAATGTATAATGAAAATTTCTTCATGTACATACAAAGTTGATCATATCACGCCAATAAATGGAAATTAATAACTTTACATTAGTAAGACAAAAGCGGATGTAAGTAGGGGGAGTTTGTCAATAATAAACTGTCAACAAAATAAGAACAATAAATCGTATGAAAATAACTTATGGGTTAATAGAAAGCTTATGATATAAAGAAATGTATATACCGGATAATTTAGTTAATTTATAATTATAAAATTAAGTTATATACATAAATAAGTTGCCTATGTTCCAATCTACTTCAGCTCTTATCCAAGATATAACGGTATATGACTACCGATTTTTTTTACTCATTCTGAATTTAAGTAAGTGACCAATAATTGACATAATAACTAAATGGAAAACTTGTCTAGTCTACTAAATTGTTTCGAATAAGTTGAGTTTGTTAATTAACTGACTAGAAATGCAATGAAATACATTTAGAAATTTATAAACTACATTGTTATTGATGTAGATATTTGGGAAATTATAAATTTTCCATAGAATAGACAAAATAAATTGTAGTAACAAGTTTATTGTAATGTTTACTCTTTTTTATATGCAACAAACATACTTTGATTGAATAAAATGTTACATTTTAAATGTTAATCTCATCAAAATATTATAAAATTTTTTTTTTCCGATTATTATTCATTTATTTTTCAAAGCACACCATCTAATAATAAAGAAGAAACTAGTGATAAAATTTTTCTGATGAAAAAAAAGAAAACTCACTTTTTGCTTAATGCTAGAAAAATACCAAATGAAATATTTAATCAGAAATTAAACAAACAAACAAAATATTACAATTCAAACAATTCACATTCATCATTATCAATAGAACAAGAAATATCTTTCAATGAAATTACTGATAATAATAATAGCATAAGAAATTTGGCAAGAAATCGATCATCTAATATTATGCTTGTTCAATCGAACGAAAACAGTAAAGATATTTCTATTAGACATAAGAAAAGAAAATCAACTATAACAGAAAATAGATATTCTAAAAAGTGTTTAAATGAAAAAGTAAGTTTATTTATTGAACTGTTAGGCATTAACATTTCAGTAATTTGTTGTATATATTGATGATTATGTGTGTTTGTGAAAAAAAAAGCTCTGCAAGTACACTTTAGAAATAATTTTAATGATTTAATATTAAATATCAGTTGCATTTCTTTAAAATTAAATATAAACAGTTTCCATCACACTGAGTAGACACACTGATTACATATGATTTTGGATAGTAATTGGATAACAAAATAAACAGCTTTAACAACTGCATATCTTCATGAAACTGTTTAGTTAAATAGGTTAGTCGATTTAAACGAGTCACATGATAATTAGAAAGCATCATAAGTGGGGTAATTTAACTTTTTAGAAAGTTATTTGTTCATACTTATTCAAACTTAATCTTATTTTAATTGAAATACATTAGAATTTCCTAATTCGATGTATATCCTCATCAAAATCCCTTTTTCTGATTGAATTTTAGTGATCTAATTTGTTATTCTATTATTCCAGGAATTATTGTTAACTCATAACCAATCGATTAAGCATTACCTATTTTAATATGAATATTCACTTTCACGAAACGATGTATGATTAAAACTGAAATCAAGAATTGTACAGACTATTAAACTATGGGTCACTGTGTATGTATTTCAAACGTCTTGACAGTAACGTTTCTGAATGTATCGTTGATTAGCTTGATTTTATTTATCCAAAGGAATAAGAATTACTTCAAGTACTACATACTAGTGTTGATAGGCACTAAAAAATGATTTCAAAAATTTCTACTGGTTAGTTTTGAAAATGTAATTGTAGTAGGCAATACACAAAACCTAGTATCATTTAAATGACCAGAGATAACTGTTTTCACCACACCACCGACTTAAATGAATTATGAAGCGTTCAATAGGTAATACAAATATGCACTGTTTCATTTGTCGATTCATTGAGTTATCACAATACTTACTTTCGCCTATTGCCCCCAATGGAGCATACGCCGCTGACCAGCATTCTCCAACCTACTATGTCTTGGGTCTTACTTTCTAGTGCCACCCAATTTTTCATTCTTCCTATGTCTGTCCTCATTTCTCGGCGTTATGTGTTCCTTGGCCTCCCTCTTTTCCGTTGGCCTTGAGGATTCTAGGCGAGGACTTGTCTTGTGAAGCAGTTCGGTGCTTTCCTCAATGTGTCCTATTCACTTCCAGCTCTTCTTTCTGATTTCCTCATCCGCTTGAATCTCGTTTGCTCTCTTCCATAGTAGTTTGGTGCTGATAGTGTCTTGCCAGCGAATTCGAAGTATTTTGCGTGGACAATTGTTAATGAACACTTGTATCTTCTGGATGTTGGCTTTCGTAGTTCCCCAAGTTTCCGCTTCACACACTAGAACTGTCTTGACGGTTGTGTTGAAAATTCTGTCTTTGGTGTTTGTTGGTAGTTGTTTTGAGTCCAAGTTATCACATGCTTACTGACTTTTATATAGTTTTATCTCATTATGATACCACCTACAGAATCATTAAAAATAGTGTTACACACAGTAGGTATTTGGACTAAACACTGGACATACCCATAATGATATACAGAAACTACAAAGCTTGAATTATGGAAAATCGGAGTACTTATTGCCTGTCCCATAGGAGATAAGAAAGTCTGATTTAAAGTCGGTTAGTGTATATGATGCGCGCATCTGAAAAGTGTTAGGCTAAGTTAAAATAGTTGACGAATGACACTTCAGTTTTAGTATATATTGCATTCTTATAAACTTGGAACGTAGGCGGTCTTTAAATATACTCAATGCCAGAATCGTATATGAAGAATAATAATGCGGTCTAAATCGTGTACTAGGTTTTTATTATAAAGTGATTTTGGTGACTATAAAGTATTGACGTAATGTTCACAACTGCTCAGATACTTAATTTATCAAGTCTTCATCATGTAACGTACGAAGAAATCCAGACCAGATGGAATACGTATATTTGCAGAACACAGTTTACTTACAAAATAAGCATACAATTTTTAAATATCCATCTGCAATACAAGCAGGTTATTGACAGTCTTTTCTCACATCTCTTCTGGTGTAATCGCGTCGTTCTTTTCGATCTCTAGACACGCTTCTGTCTGGTAGAAACTTCTGAGCGAGGCTCTGCTGTATACTATTTGTAAGCCACCTTGCAAGTAGCATCTACCACAATGGTTTCACAGATTTTTCAGTAGCTATTAGATAACTATAAAAACTATTTATGGATCTGAGTGTCTAAATTTAATTCAAATCGAATACCTGGTTCTTTTTAGATTAAACACATGAATTTGAGAAAATGTAGTCTAAACGGACCATGTCATGGATTTAGTTATACGGAATCTGGATTTACAAAACATCTTATCAATTCTGCAAATATAAATCATTCAACTGTTATCAATACTAAGAACAAACCACTTTCAGCACAGTGTAAAAGATTACAAAAGTCAAAAAATGACAAAATTTTCAGTAGAATTGCTAGTAGTTCAATTAAACATCAAAGATCACGCTCATCTCGACAAAAATCAGTCAAAACACCTTACGATGAAAATGCTTTGCAAAGTCCACAATCAAACGTAACTAATACGAATAATAGTAATGATAGTGAAACAAACTGTCAACTCTTATTTGATAATAGTAATATAAATACTGACGCTAAGATCAAAGAAAATACTGTCGTTCCATTAGTAAACCGGTCTAATTCCTTAACAGACTTAAAGATGATCATAAAATCCGAAGACTGTATTAAAGAGATTCAAGAAATGTTTAGATCAGTAACATTGAGTTGACAGTGATTATTTTGTTATTGTCCTAACCAGTTAAAAAATATTCAATACACAAATCCAGTTCTGTGTTCTTTATACGTTCTTTATATCTTTGAGATATATTTTGAGAAAACTTCAGTTGCCCATATATAACATAGAGAAATGGATAGTGGAGGTAAGACAATTTGTTTGTTAACTTCTCAGATGTATATAATTTTTACTCTATTCTTCTTATTCCCTTTTGTATTTCCACCTTTCCTTATAACATCACTGCCATGGTCAACTGTAAACATAAAAGTGGACCACATTTTATCAGATGTTTTAATAGATTCCTTTTGTTTTTCCAGTATGCCTGTATGGTTAGCAAACAAAAAATAATGTTCATGGTAGAGTATATACTTTATTTCTTATTAGCATATCAGTTTGTCAGTAATTCTAAAATTGTGTTCGTTGACAGATCAACGTTGAAAAAATGTGCTGACAAAAAAGTTAGTACATAATAATAAACTATGATTTTTTATAATGATTGGCAAAACAAGTTATGACAACCAGTCAGTAAGTCAGTCAGTTACAATGTGCGTACGTACATAAATTCAGATAGCCGTACCACATTAGCACGGAGACAAAATTGTCAGTTTAAACCCAACAGTGGTAGAGATAATAAACGTATTGGCGGTAATCGAGAAGATTAGGGTTCGAAGAAGTTATTCAAGTATAATTCAGTTAAATAAAATTAAAAAGAGAAAGTTAGAGGTTACGAGGAATTCAGAAGACAGGAACCGTATACCATGAACTATTGTTGGCTATGTTATAATCAACAATCGTTTATGGAATATGGTTGCGTCATAAAAAGCAACACTGAAAATCTTTTACAATCGCAGGTATATTTATAGGCTCCGGCTTACACTATATGAGAAGACTATAACGCCTATTACTAAATGGTAGTTAGTATGATGTGCCTTGTTCAATGATGAACAAATTTCACCAGTTCTGCAATTAATTCACTGGTTAAAGTGATCACATTAAGTTCAGTTGTTGGCATTTTAAACCTATGAATTAAATACTCCCTTCTGGAAAAACGTGAACACGTCAAAAAATATATGTCAAGTTTAATCGATGATCGATTGTAAGTTTCTCGAAGGCTTTTTCTAAAATATATGATAGAATCACATGAGCAATAAATATAACGTTATATGAATATGAACCAAAGGTGTGAACATAGACTGAACGTAACACTTATAATTTGACCGATGTGTTTAAATAATCGCAAATTTGTTAAGTTTCATGTCCGACTCAAAATTTAAGTTACATGCGCACCTGGATTTACCTTGCATTCGTTTTCAACCAGTAGTAGTTCTTCGTAACGCAACCATCGTAACTTGCGCCGGCTTCCCTATTTGGCATTGAAGAGTTCAATATCCAATATCCTTTTCAAGAGCTAGTGTAAACCAATTGATTTCTTTGCGCTCGATTCTTGTTCCTTCGGTACGGTTCCAGGTGTCTAACTCTAGTCAGTTGGCTGTGAGGTTGTATGTCTCGGGATTTGAATGAAACGTTTGTTTCAGGGCAGTAGGGTTTCTGGATACTAGCAGCCGTCACATTACGAGACCGGAGATCAGTTAGTTGCAATAATAAGGGTAATAAGGATAAAACTAAGATGATAATATGAATGGAATTTCAGGACTGAGTAATATATAGATGAATTTAGTTTGTTAATTGGTATTCAAGATTGTGAGAGAGGACCATAGTGTAGGCAAGGGGGGGGGAAAAGAGATGAGAGGCGAGATAAATTAATTGATTGATCTGAGGAGATGGCAATGATAACAACTAGCAGGTCTCAAGATGTGCATCATGAACAGCTTGTCCAAGAGGGAGATGATAGTCCGTATGTGGGTACGTGATTATGAAGTCTCTTCTTAAAGCAGTCCACTGAGGGGTATGTGGTTACCTCGGCTGGGAGAGCATTCCAAGCTGCGACGACTCGCAATGAGAAAAAGTGTGCACGAATCTGAGTATTCGTTCTTTGATGTGCAATCTTTCGAGGATTGCCTCGAGAGTAGTGGTGGTGATGCATCGGCAAGATGCTCACGTTGGGATGGTTTGGCGTGCTTAATATGTTGTACGCCATAATCAGATCGCCTCTGATTCTCCTGTAGCCCCGTGAAAATAATCCCAAGAGCTGGAGTCTCTCGTCGTAGGGTTTATTTTTCAACCCTATCACCCATTTGGTTGCTCGTCTCTGCACTTGATCCATAGATTTATATCTCTTTTTAGCAGGAGTGGGTCGGTGAAGCCCATTTCCATAACCTTTTCGATTAGGCGTAAATGGGGTACTGTGTCAAAGGCTTTTGCAAAGTTGAGAAATATTACGTGCACCGGTATTTTACGGTCCAAACAGGATGTCCGACTGTCCCATGCAATGAGAAGATTAGATGCACCCGACCTGCCTTTCCGAAACCCTCGTTGAGCTTCATGGAGTATTGTATTCTTATCCATGTACTCCCTCTTCTCTTCGTTCACCAGCCCTTCCATTGTCTTTGATAGTATTGGTAGTAGTGCGACTGGTCTGTAACAAGCTGGGTCCTTTCTATCTTCTACTTTAAAGATTGGAGAGAGAGAAGAGCTAGTTTCCATTTAGCTGGGAATTGGTGTGACTTCAGGGAACGCCTGAACAGGTCAAATATCGGTGAACAGAGGACTTCTGCACATTGTTACAAGACTATTGGGCGTATTTCGTCACAACCTGGTGAATTACCTGGGCCTAAGGATTTTAGTTTCCTTATTACTAGGTCAGGAGTGATACGGAAGTTCCCTAAGCCGTCAGCTGGCAATAGGTTGGCGTAGTATTATGAACATGTGGGCGCCTGGTAGTATTATTTGCAATTTTATGTGAAAGATCTTAGCCATATATAAAAATTCCATGTAACTTGTGAAGTATATGCGTAACTGAACAATCTTTAATGGGAAAACATGTTGGCAATTTTGACATTTTGATCTTGCCTGTAAAGTGGCATGCCTATCGTAATTTGTTTTTTTGAGAAGTAATCGTCTCTTGGTTAGCAGATGGATATTTCGCCTACACCAAAAGTGACACAAGTTGGCAAAAGCCAATCAAGCCTTCCGTATCCGTGCTGAGATTTCGTCAGACACCAAGTCATCAGCACTGATGAGACTCCCAAGATAAGTGAAGCAGTCGACACAATCACCTACTTCAATCCCTATCACTAGTTCAGGTGCCGATGCAAGCCAGTCATGAAGCAATATTTTACATTTCACCGGTTGAGCCGCATCCCGAACCTGCTTGCATTGTTCCTAGAGTAGTCAGATGACTCTGCATTTTGTCAGCGTCCTCTTGTCCGCGAGATGATAATAATCGATGGTTAGAGACCTTGAATGACATGGCTCAAAATCGTTCGCAATGGCAACGGTGCATTTATTCTTTGTGTTCTCACAAATCCTAATCTTCTGGATTCTTCAACACCTCTAGTTTTGACTTTCTAAACTTTTCTCATTTAATCATACTTCTTGAATAATATCTTCTAATCCTAACCTCTCCGATTACTTCTAATACCCTTACTAACTCTTCTCCTATGTGATTTGAATTGACAATAACATCTCTGTGCTGATGTGGTATGGCGACATGAACTGATGTACTTACGTACGAAGTTCTACGTTGCAACTGACTGACTGTCAGCGTCCTCACCAAGTAGAACTATGTCGTCGACATATTCTTAGTCCTCAAGTGTGTCACCTTGTAGAACGTGCACCACTGAAAATCAGACGAAGATAATGTTAAATCTAAAAGCACGTCTACGACAAAGTTAAACAAGAATGGAGAAAGTGGACAGCCCTGTAGAACAGCACTTAAGGTAACCAATTCTGATGAAGTTCGCCATAAGCTCTAATCTGGCCAGTAGTCTTCGAGTAGAGAGCCGCCGGTATATGGTTAATGTACTTCGTTTAGTGACGTTTAAGCATGTCTATATTCCAGGATCTAACGTAGTGTGATCTGATCTATGTAACCATGTTCAGGTCGAATATCAGCCTGGTTTTCTCTTTAGTCATTGAGGTAAGAGTCAGCTAAAATCGATAAGTGACCCATCTAATCATCGGAGATTTTCGTGAATCTAGTGTATTTTTCAGACTGAATAAAATTTACTTGACAATAGGGAATTTTTATCGGCTCATTGCTACCAAAAAGATAATGGAGTTGGTTCTCAGGAAAAGGAAGCTTGTAATACTTCAATCCACCCGCAGATCTCGGAC